TATATATATATATATAGATATTCAGAGAAATAGATATATATCAATATATATATTCAGAGTAATTTACCCCTCGGAAAATACAAGTGGAATTAGCATAAACAAAAGTGAAGAAATATATGCAGCACTCTTGAGTGTTGCTGGTTTCATTGATCTAAAACCTGCATGCGAGAAAATACACGCGTTCGAAGAAGCAGCCAAGATCGGCAGTAGTCACTATTTGTCCCCAACTGGCGAGAAACTACGTGGACAAGATAAGCGTAACATATACTTTGAACACAGCATAGATACTAGACCAGAAGGGTCACTCAGACGCTATTTCGTCCGAAATTTTACGTGCTGACGTGCCAAATACGCCATCATATATGACGCCATCCTGGAGTGCACACGAAAGTTTTTTATAGGTACACAGTGCCGTGTGCACTCCAGGATGGCGTCATAGCACGTAAAAAATTTTGGACATTCTTACCCAGCCAAAACGCATAGGAGTGACCCTTCTGGTCTAGTATCTGTTCTGTGCTTTGAACAAGGCATTCCATTCATCTGCGAAAGTTTCATCGGACTATACACAAAATGGTTCAGGACTCAGGAGTTATTGACCGCCGGGCTTTTCAGCCCCCTTAATTAGTCCCAGAATACCCAAAAAAGCCCAGGCTGGATAGGATTAATTTTAAATTCGACTCTGGAGTCTGTTACTAAACTAACTTTATTTATACTGGACAGCTTTGTCAATTATCAGGAATTTAAGACATTCTGCTGCCGCGATATATTAGGCTTGCGTTATTCCCCAAATCTGTTTGAGCATGCGCGCTTCAATAATTTTTACTGAAACAATTAAGTGTAATAAATATGAAACAAGACAGCGTATTATTTCAGTGTTTCTTTATTGATTACACTTTTTATTATACTAAGCAAAGTTATTTGCATGGGAGAATTTGGAATCATTTTATTTCGAACTCAAAGTTTATCGATAAAGGCAGTTTAAGTTCTATAGCACTTTATATCCCCGCTTCCGTGCACCCAATGCGGACCCTATGTTTATTTACAATGTAATGCAATGATTTATAGCCGCTATAATATTGATTACTATTTTATTTTTTTGATTTTCTATTTTAATTTTATTTATTTTAATACTGAAGCTGAAAATATCTGTGCTGCATGCAAAAGACCAGATAATGAGGTAGATCAGGTTGTTAATAATTATCATAAATATGTCGAAGAAAGATGCAGTTTATTCATATTCCATGTGTCAGCGAAAACAATTGCAGTTCTGCACAAAATACTGATGACAGAGATGCAATATAGTTTCCTTATATATGACAACGACCGCCCATTTCACAAAATCTAAGAGATTGTAATTGTGCCCCGACGTTGTCGGTACCAGTTTATCAAAATGAATGTGACTGAACCGCAAAAAGCTTATCATTTGAGTAAAATGCGGACTCGCGTATATAGAAGGGATAAGGACAACGATGGCTTCATTTCATGCGAAGATTTTCAGTCCATTGCCACAAATTTGGTCGAAACTGGTAAGGGAATCACCAAGGAGAAAACTGAAGAAATATTTTCAGCGTGCTCGGAGATGGCTGATCTGCATGGTCTTAAACCTGGCGTAAAACTAACGCTAGAAGAAGCAGCCGTGACTTTGAGTGATCGCTTCTTGTCCCCAGCAATTGGCGAAAAATTGTCGGGACACCCTGGCAAGGTGTTTGACTGTTTCGACACGAACGGCAATGGACGCATCTCGATCGAGGAGTTCAGAGTCGACTTCAAAGTTTTGGGGCTCAATGCTACTGATGAAGAAATTAAGCATTCTTTTGACACCATTGATTCAGATAGCAAAGATGAAATAAGTCGTGAAGAGTTTGACAATATACCTTTGTATCGTTTTTTGGTCCAACATTGTTTGTGTGTGGGGGTTG